CAATACCATCTATTTTCCCCATAACAGAAAAACCTCATGAAAATTTTAAACCAAACTTTAAACGTTAATATCTTTTCAGATGTAATCAATCATAATAATTAAATTCATAAATTTTCAATTGTCAATGAAATTGATAAACTTTATTGAGCAACTTCAATAATTGAGTTTTATTTAAATCATGAAATTTAAAACTGTTTCAAAAGAGATTTCTTTCTTGTAATTTCACATTATAAAGAATCTAAATATTTATCTGCAAAAAGTCTAAACTAAAATAATTAAATTCCTATAAAATTAGGAAATAAATCTATATCCATATATTATAAAAATCAACTGAATAACTATAAAACTAAATATAGTAAACACCCATTAACTCAGGCTAATAGGGGGTAAAGATTGACAGGGTGATTAACAGGGTGATTATGACAACATGGAAAATGAGAACATGAATGTATAGAACAATAATTTATTATAATCAGCTCTACAGAAATTTCACTCAGTTAAGATTATACTGCTGAATTTATTACAAGAAATAAACTAAAAAAATTTCATGACTACAATATACAGCATTATATAATCTTTAGTAACTCACAGACTACAGTAATATAATTTACTGTATCATAAAGACTTCTGGATATTGAACACACTTGTTAATTATAATTTTTCTATTATCAATAAATTTTAAATTACTGTTTCAAAAATTTGTCTAAGTTATGCAGAGTTTACTGTAATTAAAACAATTTTTGAATAAATTCATCTTCAGAAATACTAGAAGATTAATCGTGTATAATAAAATATGCTACATTAATAAATATGAATATTTTTTATAATTTTTAAATTTATTGAGAGATGATGGCTTAACAGCCTAGTTCTGGCCAAACTGCTTTGTTTTGGATTATTAATTCACCACAAAGCAGTTTGAACTTTATTTATTTGTTTTGATAAGCTTTAAAAATTATAATTTTCTATGACAAGGAATTATTAAAGAATATATTAAATTATTGAATTATTTCTAATTTAAATAATCGAAATATATACTGAATTTTAATAAAGCTTAAATAAAAGAACAAAATTAGTTTTTGTATTTTTGTTGGTGAATGTTTCAAATTAAAACTATAGGAAATTTAAATTTTATATTCTGTTTTAAAACATTATTTTATAATGTAAATATTTTCACAACTAACTATTTGATTAATAAATTTATTTAATAAACAGATATAAAATAATTTTATTGTTTTACCAAGAGTATTAATACAAAGATTGTATAAAATATTTTAACATACAGGTATTTCATGTGATATATTAGCAAATAGTATGCTATAAAAATTTTAAAGTAAGAATTAAATTAACAATAATCACATCATTATTAAAAAAAAACAAGTACAATAGTAGATTTGCATTTTCCCAAATTAGAATCATTTTGGACATCTGTTTTACCTGGTACTTTGTTATCATAATTTTGTTATTTGGTTTAATCTGGTTTTTTTATACTAATAACAGAAAAGTCCACTAATGAGTCATTGTCATGTATGGGAGATAGAAATTATTCACATAACACTAGCTTATTTTCAATTAAGTAATAAGCACTAAATAAGGTAGACTGAATAAAAATTGGCAATTTTTGTACTCTATAACTAAATTAATCATAATTTCCAAACAATAATTTTTATATGTATCATAACAACAAATTAAACTTTCAGATTTAATAAAAATTTTACAAATTATAACTATATAAAAATATATTGGTTTTTACACATCAGTTAATGAAATTTATAATTTAAAATGATATATTTCATTTGAATATATTAATTTAAATGATATACTTCATTTATATTTATTTATCAAATCAAAATATTTTCTTCTTCTAAAATATATATAAGAAGAAGAGGGGAAAAATCAATCATATATAGAATGCTTAATTGTTTAAAATTCTTTATATTTTAACGTAACCACAGTTGTTATCCCACTTACACTGAAGTTCATTTTTTACCTGGAAAAAAATTATCAATAGTATCATTTTCATTTTTATTTCATAATTATTATAAAAAAGTTAAAACTTACAACTTTATGTACTAAATTTATATAATTCAAATTCTTATTATCAAATTCTTTTTAAAATACAAAGCAGAAAGACAGATTTTTTAATGACATAAGAACTAAAATATTACTTGCATAGGATATAATAAATTTTAAAAAAAATTTGTTTTATACATCAAAATATTTAATTTTATTCAAATTTATAACAATTATTTTAAATAACAAATTACTTTTGATATTGAAAATATAAATACTTCGCAGTGGTGTGTATGTGATGATAGGGAAGCTGTGCTGGCCCTGAATAGATTTTAAGATTTACATTTAATAGAAGATGAAGACCAGGCACCACTCAAAAGGTATTATCCAGTTTGGAAGAAGTAAGAGGGTGAAAAATGAGGAAGGTTTGGTAGAGGTGGGAGGAAGGGAAGGGAGAAAGGNTAGCAAATAGTATGCTATAAAAATTTTAAAGTAAGAATTAAATTAACAATAATCACATCATTATTAAAAAAAAACAAGTACAATAGTAGATTTGCATTTTCCCAAATTAGAATCATTTTGGACATCTGTTTTACCTGGTACTTTGTTATCATAATTTTGTTATTTGGTTTAATCTGGTTTTTTTATACTAATAACAGAAAAGTCCACTAATGAGTCATTGTCATGTATGGGAGATAGAAATTATTCACATAACACTAGCTTATTTTCAATTAAGTAATAAGCACTAAATAAGGTAGACTGAATAAAAATTGGCAATTTTTGTACTCTATAACTAAATTAATCATAATTTCCAAACAATAATTTTTATATGTATCATAACAACAAATTAAACTTTCAGATTTAATAAAAATTTTACAAATTATAACTATATAAAAATATATTGGTTTTTACACATCAGTTAATGAAATTTATAATTTAAAATGATATATTTCATTTGAATATATTAATTTAAATGATATACTTCATTTATATTTATTTATCAAATCAAAATATTTTCTTCTTCTAAAATATATATAAGAAGAAGAGGGGAAAAATCAATCATATATAGAATGCTTAATTGTTTAAAATTCTTTATATTTTAACGTAACCACAGTTGTTATCCCACTTACACTGAAGTTCATTTTTTACCTGGAAAAAAATTATCAATAGTATCATTTTCATTTTTATTTCATAATTATTATAAAAAAGTTAAAACTTACAACTTTATGTACTAAATTTATATAATTCAAATTCTTATTATCAAATTCTTTTTAAAATACAAAGCAGAAAGACAGATTTTTTAATGACATAAGAACTAAAATATTACTTGCATAGGATATAATAAATTTTAAAAAAAATTTGTTTTATACATCAAAATATTTAATTTTATTCAAATTTATAACAATTATTTTAAATAACAAATTACTTTTGATATTGAAAATATAAATACTTCGCAGTGGTGTGTATGTGATGATAGGGAAGCTGTGCTGGCCCTGAATAGATTTTAAGATTTACATTTAATAGAAGATGAAGACCAGGCACCACTCAAAAGGTATTATCCAGTTTGGAAGAAGTAAGAGGGTGAAAAATGAGGAAGGTTTGGTAGAGGTGGGAGGAAGGGAAGGGAGAAAGGAGGAGAGAAAAGAGGGAAAATGGGAAGTCATGGCATCCCGCTGGCCCTGGATAAAATCATTGGAAGCATATGATTTTGGTGTGTAGCATCCATGAGCTAGACCGCAAGAGGTTGGTGCTCTGTAAATCGTGTGTGCAAATATATATAATCTGGCCACTTTACACAATTCAATATTTTTGCTGTGGAAGTTGTCCCATATTCAACAATACAACATTTCCATTGGGAATATGCATATACAGTAGAGCCTCGAAAACTCGGCCTAATGTGGACCGAAGGGTGGCTGAGTTTGTGAAAATGCCAGGTTATCGGGAATGGAGTTAAAAAAGGATAAGTATGCGTGTTTCCTCAGAAAATATTGTACTGTACTTGCATGTATTGTTTGCTTGAGAATACAACAGAGAATAAACTGCCCAAATACCCTTAAACAAAGGAAAAGTACATCCTTTATAAAGGCATAGAGCCTTTACTACATGAAAATGAAAATTAATGAATACACTGTGTACAGTAATTTACTTCATAAGACAGACCTCAGAAAAATACTTTATAAGGCACAAAGCTGTCTATAATGAAAATTAATTAACTAAGGATTTTTTTGCCCTGCCAGGGTGTGGCTGAGTTATCCAGAGTGCCGGGTTATCGAGTGCCGAGTTTTCGAGGCTCTACTGTACTNGGTGAATGTTTCAAATTAAAACTATAGGAAATTTAAATTTTATATTCTGTTCTAAAACATTATTTTATAATGTAAATATTTTCACAACTAACTATTTGATTAATAAATTTATTTAATAAACAGATATAAAATAATTTTATTGTTTTACCAAGAGTATTAATACAAAGATTGTATAAAATATTTTAACATACAGGTATTTCATGTGATATATTAGCAAATAGTATGCTATAAAAATTTTAAAGTAAGAATTAAATTAACAATAATCACATCATTATTAAAAAAAAACAAGTACAATAGTAGATTTGCATTTTCCCAAATTAGAATCATTTTGGACATCTGTTTTACCTGGTACTTTGTTATCATAATTTTGTTATTTGGTTTAATCTGGTTTTTTTATACTAATAACAGAAAAGTCCACTAATGAGTCATTGTCATGTATGGGAGATAGAAATTATTCACATAACACTAGCTTATTTTCAATTAAGTAATAAGCACTAAATAAGGTAGACTGAATAAAAATTGGCAATTTTTGTACTCTATAACTAAATTAATCATAATTTCCAAACAATAATTTTTATATGTATCATAACAACAAATTAAACTTTCAGATTTAATAAAAATTTTACAAATTATAACTATATAAAAATATATTGGTTTTTACACATCAGTTAATGAAATTTATAATTTAAAATGATATATTTCATTTGAATATATTAATTTAAATGATATACTTCATTTATATTTATTTATCAAATCAAAATATTTTCTTCTTCTAAAATATATATAAGAAGAAGAGGGGAAAAATCAATCATATATAGAATGCTTAATTGTTTAAAATTCTTTATATTTTGACGTAACCACAGTTGTTATCCCACTTACACTGAAGTTCATTTTTTACCTGGAAAAAAATTATCAATAGTATCATTTTCATTTTTATTTCATAATTATTATAAAAAAGTTAAAACTTACAACTTTATGTACTAAATTTATATAATTCAAATTCTTATTATCAAATTCTTTTTAAAATACAAAGCAGAAAGACAGATTTTTTAATGACATAAGAACTAAAATATTACTTGCATAGGATATAATAAATTTTAAAAAAAATTTGTTTTATACATCAAAATATTTAATTTTATTCAAATTTATAACAATTATTTTAAATAACAAATTACTTTTGATATTGAAAATATAAATACTTCGCAGTGGTGTGTATGTGATGATAGGGAAGCTGTGCTGGCCCTGAATAGATTTTAAGATTTACATTTAATAGAAGATGAAGACCAGGCACCACTCAAAAGGTATTATCCAGTTTGGAAGAAGTAAGAGGGTGAAAAATGAGGAAGGTTTGGTAGAGGTGGGAGGAAGGGAAGGGAGAAAGGAGGAGAGAAAAGAGGGAAAATGGGAAGTCATGGCATCCCGCTGGCCCTGGATAAAATCATTGGAAGCATATGATTTTGGTGTGTAGCATCCATGAGCTAGACCGCAAGAGGTTGGTGCTCTGTAAATCGTGTGTGCAAATATATATAATCTGGCCACTTTACACAATTCAATATTTTTGCTGTGGAAGTTGTCCCATATTCAACAATACAACATTTCCATTGGGAATATGCATATACAGTAGAGCCTCGAAAACTCGGCCTAATGTGGACCGAAGGGTGGCTGAGTTTGTGAAAATGCCAGGTTATCGGGAATGGAGTTAAAAAAGGATAAGTATGCGTGTTTCCTCAGAAAATATTGTACTGTACTTGCATGTATTGTTTGCTTGAGAATACAACAGAGAATAAACTGCCCAAATACCCTTAAACAAAGGAAAAGTACATCCTTTATAAAGGCATAGAGCCTTTACTACATGAAAATGAAAATTAATGAATACACTGTGTACAGTAATTTACTTCATAAGACAGACCTCAGAAAAATACTTTATAAGGCACAAAGCTGTCTATAATGAAAATTAATTAACTAAGGATTTTTTTGCCCTGCCAGGGTGTGGCTGAGTTATCCAGAGTGCCGGGTTATCGAGTGCCGAGTTTTCGAGGCTCTACTGTACGAACTTATATTTGAATATACAATAGCAATCTTATCATTATTTTTTAATGTATAGAAATTTGTAATAAGATAATACATAATTCGATTATAATAAAATATTAATTTTATTTAATTAATTCAAAGTATGTTAAAATATGAAAATAATTGCACAATATATATTTATATTTTATAAAATACAAGGGAAGCAGTGCTTTCACAGTCTCCATAGACGGCACATCCTTTGTTATTATTATATTAATCTTTTTCAGTAGCATTGAAAGTTTCTCCTTTCAGACTCTGATTTTTCAATGATTTCAATGCCAAAATAAAAACATGCAAAGAATATTTTAAAATTTCTACATTTAAAATTTAAATGTTTAACATTGCAACTATTCTTTAACTTCTAGGATATAAATGAAGAAGAACCGTCACATTTTAATTTTTGTATTTTTAATATTTTGTATCTTGTAACATGTTTCACAACAGTTACACCTAATAAATTCTAAACATTAGTTCTTTGCTAAACAATTTTATCCAGAAACTTCTGCATATTTTTCTTTGTTATTGTATATTGTCTACAATAAAATTTCTGTATTATATGAGACCATTAGAATACATTATCTTTGTTATTGATATATTCAGATAGAATGTCCTTTAACTGGTAAGATTTTAGTCTTACAATTATTATTTGAAAATATGAAATAAATGGAATTTAAAAATTAGTTAGTTAAGAAATATTTAATTTTCAGAAGTTAGAATAATATACAATCCCATATAAGTATTGGTTAGTTAAGCAAATTTTATAGCATAAATAAAATTAAAATACTCATAACTTTATTTCTTATTTTTGTAAGTTTCCATATGATTTTGTTGAATATAAAGCCATTTTTACTGTAACATTAGGAATTAATTTTCTCTTCCCGAACTATCATTTTTTAAATATAAAGTTACATATCTTGAAAGCAAATCTTTTAATCTTAAAAGCTTGGTATTGTAGACAATTAAAATGAATAAATTCTATCTTTCAGGTAGATAACCCATGAATTATTTGCATTTAATAGAATTGCAGGCCAATTTTAAATTTCAATCACAAGTTAAAGTTGGTTTACCCTGTAAGACTGGTAAGTGGCAAGCAACTGACTGACCCATTGGACAATTACCTATTCACAGGTTTGCAAGAAATGACACTGAATATTTAATTATCATATACTCGCCACTGTTTTTTATTACCTTAACTTGTTTTAATGAATTAAGATTTAACTTTTTAATAAATACTTATAATTAATATAGATTAATACAGTTAATTCATTAATACAAAATATAAGAAACAAAAATACAAAATAAATTATTAAAACAAATGAAACTCATGAAGAAATTCTGTTTAAAAGGTTACAACATTTTGAACAAAATTAAACAGAAAATAATTTTAATATCAATGATAAAGTTATTTTCTAAATTAAAAAAATCTAGGATAAAATATATTTTAAAATATTACAAATTGAAGACTAAATACAAATAAAAATTTGATGTCTCACATTTTCATGACCATAAGAATACAACTAACATCAGCAGTTTTTTTTTTTAATTTTTTCAAGAAATATTTTTACAAGAATCTGGTGCAAGAGGGGTTTTTAATCAGTTTACATATTCACAAGCAGAGCAGAGTTGATCTTAAAGAAAAGATCAACTCTGCTCACATTAATTGTGTTCCTGCGATTGTGAACAATGTGTAAACACTGTGAGGGACGAACCGACCCCCCATTAAAGTGTTATTTTAAACTTTAATTATTGGGAAATTCTTAACTTTGAGTGTTTTATCAAGTTAGGCTAAAAGCCATAAAAAATTATTTCCCACAGAGTTGGTTCCTTATTGAGGAGGATCCAGCTAGTCAGTGATATGTCACCCGGAACTTTGGATAAAGTGCCCACATTGGATGCCAGACCCTTAACAACAACCTCCTGACCTGACGGGAAAAACCCTAGCGGAATAACAAGAGAGAACAAAAAAAACACCCGAAGTCAGTCGTCTTCCAAAGTCCGTCCACCAAAGTCGTCCTCAAGGAGTAATACCGTGACCAGGAATCCAGAATTGAAACCGTGTTAACGATCGTGCCTTTTTATGGATATCAGCTCCTCTTCCGTGTCTCCATACCTCAATGCTCCTGTAAACGGACAAGACCCAGAACCCGTTGATCGAACATTCTATCAGTGGTGTCATCTTACTACAGATCTTTGACTCAGAAGAAAGGTATTTATCAACCCGCGATTCGCTTGTAAACTCTCTCTCTCTCGAACGGCCTAGTATAATTAGGGGAACTTTAGGCATGCTTGCTATCAAATATATCTGTGTATTTTCTTTGGTTCTTATTAAAATTGTTATTATTATCTTTGTTTCAAACATACAATTTGAAGCCGAAACAGAGTGTAATAATAGTTTAAATTATTTAGACATAACCATTAATAGAACTGACAATAAATTAGAATTCAGAAAATTTATAAAACCTACGCAAATACCAAAAGTACTAAATTATAAAACCAATGTTTCACAAGCTATGAAATTTAACATCTTTAAAATGTACATAAAAAAAATTAAAAACAGAACTAGTAAATTAGAAAATCAAGAGATGGAAATAGAACATGTCATAAAAATGTTCTTACTGAATAGTTACCCCAAAAAAATATTAGAAAAATGGTTAAACTGAACTAATAATAATGACAATAAAAATAGAAAATTTAAAAAAGATAGAAAATGTGTAAATTTGATGTATGTACCTAAACTGTTTGAAAGAGTTAAAAATATACTAAATGGAAAAGTGAATTTAATACCGGAAAAAAATAATTTATTTAAAAGATATTTATATCATAGGGTAGATAAAAAATTAGATTTAATGGAAGAAAAAGAAATTGTGTATTCATTCAATTGCAGCTGTGATCCGGTCAAAACTTATATAGGAGAAACAAAAAAAAAATTAAGCACAAGAATAAAAGAGCACATATGTGCAATAAGAGGTAATTATGCAAATTCTGCAGTAGCAGAACACTGCAATAGTTATGGGTGCCAAATCAACAAAGATACTATAAAAATTAAGAAAAAAGAATCAAATAATTACAAACGTCAATTATACGAACATTTAAACATAAAGAAAGAAAGAAATAGAATAAACAATAATTTGGGTCGTATAATCCACCAATCCTGGAGCNAGTGTAATAATAGTTTAAATTATTTAGACATAACCATTAATAGAACTGACAATAAATTAGAATTCAGAAAATTTATAAAACCTACGCAAATACCAAAAGTACTAAATTATAAAACCAATGTTCCACAAGCTATGAAATTTAACATCTTTAAAATGTACATAAAAAAAATTAAAAACAGAACTAGTAAATTAGAAAATCAAGAGATGGAAATAGAACATGTCATAAAAATGTTCTTACTGAATAGTTACCCCAAAAAAATATTAGAAAAATGGTTAAACTGAACTAATAATAATGACAATAAAAATAGAAAATTTAAAAAAGATAGAAAATGTGTAAATTTGATGTATGTACCTAAACTGTTTGAAAGAGTTAAAAATATACTAAATGGAAAAGTGAATTTAATACCGGAAAAAAATAATTTATTTAAAAGATATTTATATCATAGGGTAGATAAAAAATTAGATTTAATGGAAGAAAAAGAAATTGTGTATTCATTCAATTGCAGCTGTGATCCGGTCAAAACTTATATAGGAGAAACAAAAAAAAAATTAAGCACAAGAATAAAAGAGCACATATGTGCAATAAGAGGTAATTATGCAAATTCTGCAGTAGCAGAACACTGCAATAGTTATGGGTGCCAAATCAACAAAGATACTATAAAAATTAAGA